CTTAATTTCACAAAAACGATATTCATGAGGAACGGATTGGTTTCGCATGCCACATTCACGCTCAACGGAACGAATATCTCCGAGTGCTCCAGTTATATTTATCTAGGTCGAGAAATCAATGTGATGAACAACCCAGCTTCAGAGCTGAGCAGAAGGAAACGAGCGGCTTCGGGAGCTTTCAAGAGCATCGAGGATGTAGTGAAGAAAACAAAGAACACCCGAGTCCGTGCCCACCTTTTCGACTCAACGGTACTTCTTGTCCTAACGTATGCATCAGAAACCTGCCTGCTGCGTAAGCAGGATGAAGATTCACTCAGCGCTATCGAAAGCGCAGTCGAAAGAACGATGCTAGGATTATCCTATTTGACACAAGTAAGGGATGGGATCCGAAGCTGCTATCTGCGTCAACGATGAAAAATCAAAGATGCCGTTCTGTACGTCGAGGATAAGGTGAGCCGGACACGTAATGCGTATGAATGACAACCGATGAACAAGAGCCGTAGTGATTGGATTCCTCAGGATGTCAAACGCACTGCGGGAAGACCATAGACCCGATGGTCAGAGCTCTTCACAAAGAGCCTTGAAGAAAGATATGATGCTCGACGAGTCTCTAGAACGAGCGGAACCCACTGGGCTACTCTTGCATGCGACCGGGAAAAATGGATGATTTACTGGCGCCCGCTCGAGTTATTCGACGATCAGCGGGAATACAACTGATACAAGTAATTTGTTAGTAAGGATCATTGGTGTCTTCTAGATGGCCAAGCTCTTCAATGGTGTAACGTAGATGATAGACGGTCTAGACGCTGAGATTGCTCGTTTTCACGAATAATACGTCTTCTGGTACAACTTCCCCTCGTCACCTACAACTGCGTTTGTCATGATGATGTAGATTTTTAGCACTGACGTGATTTTGGATATTTTTTGACAAAAACGTGAAAATCCGGAGTAGCGGTTGAAATAATTCTATCTATACAACAAGGTCTAAACTAACCCTTATCATCCTGGCTCATTGGCAATATTACGGAGATTAGGCTCTTTTCGTCCCTGCACGAACCCGACATTCTGGACGAGTTTTCCATATGTTTGCGGCCCTTTAAGTTTGCGAAAGGCGCGCACTTCAACATTGCTTTTTAAAAAATTGTTCCGTTCTTTCAATTCATCACCATTTTGTTTTCGAATTCGTACATTAAGGGCGCATTTAGCGCAGTCGTTAGAGCTGCGCTACAATACACATGGGTTCGGTCTCGTCCCTCAGACTCACCGAGCCTTCCATTCATCCGGGCTAAGCAGATTGCTACCAGACTTGTCTGGGAGGATAGCAACGGCTCAATACATCGGTAGGCCACCGAGAGTCATCGTAAAGGCCAGATATGCGTTCAATCACCTACAAACGATGCTTAATGAAGTCGATTGCATGACGCATCCTTCAGGAATTGATCAAAGCCGGGAGCGTTATCGTTTTTTTTAGCTTTATTGGTGCATTACTTCTTTCCCTTTGAAAAGGGATCTGATTGAGGACACCGCTGTTGTCATTTTTTTTATATGTCCACCGTCTAGCCGCTGCGCAGTTAGGACGATTTTCGCAAAATTAGCGTTTCGTCGATATGAAAACTACTATTTCCACACATCATTTGTTAATTTCCTATGGCTTGGTTTTCAATAAAGAAGAAAAAATTGTTCACAGACTGCACTTGTGGAGGCCTTGTGATGCTAAATTGAATAGAGAGAGAGGGAGAGGGAGAGAGAGAGAAAGTTGCTCTTGGTTGGGATTGTTTGGAAAAAAGTGATTCCATCTCTTCTCATCAAGTATGTATACCAGATTTTCTAGGATACATGGATTTTTTGAAGGACACAGAAGTGGTTTTTACTGACAGTTTCGCGCCAAAACCAGCTCGTACGTTCATAGTAAACACAAGTGAGTTGCTTTCTTCACATATACGAAGACATTTGTTCCACTTTCTACGAAGTAGATTGTCAGGCATACTTTAAAATTTTTTTCACTTGTCTAGATGCACCTTTGCATTCGATAAACTCGAATATTCGGCCATCTTCTGGGGTGTGCACATTTCCACCAGATAGTCTCTTTCCTGATCGATTTATCTTGTGGTGAGTTCCAATGTCCTACAAAAGGCAAAAGCGTGTATAGAGTAGGTTTAAGTTTTCGGAGAAATGACTGGATGAACGTGGATTTTACTTTGTAGTTAAAGGTGTGTCTCCCAACGGTTTAGGTCCTCGTTGTGGCTGGGAGGTGTTCTTGGGTGTCGGGCTGCGATGTATAGCGGGGCTTCCTCCACCAGCAGTGTCTCCCAAGCTGAGTCCGGCGTTTCCGGAGTTATACTAATACCAGGATCGACCACCGTCCTGATATCAAATTAGTCTCGCATGGTGGCAAATCTCCTTGTGATAAGCAAGGGTGACGACTGCCTGTGCTAGTTACGCGACCTGTGGCAGACTTTGACCAGCCTGACCTCAAGACTCCAGCGAGCTACAATTGCTGAACAAGGAAAACTTCGAAACAATGGAAGTTAGGCTGGGGCCCACGCAACAGTGAAAACGGGCCATTCAATTGAGTTAAGGGTGTGGTATAAATTTGATGGAAGGTGAGATAGTGGTTTAGCATTTTGAGGCTAGCGAACTGATTGTATGCATTTTAGCGTATATTTAGTGGATGATGTTTTAGAACCGATTGTTTTCGTATCAATAAGATGTAATATTGTTTATTGCAGTGGGAGAGCTGTTCAAAAAAGATTTTATGATAATTTTTTCCCGTTTCCAGGCGTGCTATAGGACAAAAACTGTATTTGGAGGAGCGATCCTTGTGTCGCACTGTTGTCAATAACACTTTATGCTTGGATTTCTCGCGAACAGCAATTCTACCGGGTACTTCAGTCGCTCTATTTGAGCAGGGTATTCTCTGTATCGTCGTACCAACTCAGTCGACTGTTCACAGATTCTTTGCAAAGCTTGTATTTGATCCTGCAGAAATGACTGCCAAAGAGGTTATATTTATTGTTAATGGGGAAGTTGTGTTACAGTGTTTCTTATTTGCCATACAACTTTAGTGCTCGTATACTGTGACGTCTTTATTCAGGTACCGTCAATATTAACACAGATCATTGAAAAGAACTTTCTTGTTGAAGATCATACCTCGTATCAGCTGACGACGAATGGACATGCTTTCCGCGCTTCTGTCATTCAACGATCTGATCTCACTCGAGTTGGGCTTTTTTTTTTCTTCTTGAAAGCCTTATGGGTTAATTAAATGCTTATCTACTCTTATTCATGATCACTTATAACCTGACTCTCAATTTTCATCAACTGTTGCATGCGTCTGTGCCTAATTTTCAGCGAGGCTTTTTGATAACTAATGACCTTGAGGATCTAAGTGCTTTACAAGCTTACAAAGAGACCTTTTAGAAGTGCTTACATTTCTATCTTGTTTTTTTTCCTTTTGCACGGCTCAAACATCACAAAAAAATTGATGGTCACCATGCTGCTTTCATTGGTTTCGTTTACTTGTGTTCGCTATCCACGAATGTCTTCGAATTTTCGTGTGCGTCCTTCTTGGATATATTGGTCTCCTTTATGACTATCGTTTAATTCTGGTCAAGTCAATACTCTGCTATTCTGGAATGTCTATGCTGTAGTAGTGTTCCCTGCGCTTTCCCATAACCTTTTTAGGTCGAGGGTACCTCATTGCCAATAATTTTGGTAGCGTTTAACTAAGTCGCGGATTGGTATACATATATACATATATATACGTATGTACATCTATGTGCACGTATATATATCCACATGTGTATATGCGTATGTATATATGAACACAAAGAGAGAGACACAGGAGATACTTACAGGACGCCACTGTGTTGTTTTGGACAGATTCCTGCTTATTTAATCGTTTTTCTCTTCGAAATAGTAATGGTAGAATAGGAAAAGACAAACACGAAAGTTCACAATGACGTGTCATTTTTTTGCTTGAAACTAAAAGATTCAAATATTTTCGGTCATGTGTGAGTGAAATCTTTTCACACCGGCGTTCTGCTCATGTGTGAGTCGGAACCATTTCACGTAAGGGCTGTAAGTGTCTGTGAAGAGCACAGGCTTACAGATTTTATGGTGCTGCATACCATTAACGTCTAGTGATAAGTTCTCAGTGATAAGTTGCTGGTTTTTAACATATAGAAATTTAAGATGTTCAGATTATTTAGATCGCTTACTGCATGGTGGAAGGGCAAATGGTGGTTGTAACCATGCACACAAGCAAATGTAAGTTATTCCACAATCAGCTTCATTTTCTCTTCTTTTTCACGCGTTAAGGCCTTCATAAAAAAACAGTTACCAATTTCTTACAGGCTTAGGGATATCAGTGGAAATTAACATATTTAGACATACGTCGCAAAGGACTATAACATGATAGCACCTCAACAGTATTAGATCTACTTTCTTCCTTTATTTTATCAGACGACAAGATTGACGAAGCGATATTCCGGGAGTATGGATTAATGAAGCGTCTGCTTGGTGAAGCGTCTGGTGGTATATGTGACGTTTATGGTCTATTTAAAGTGAGGAGTGCATTGTGTGAACCTGAGGACTTATTCTATGCAATATATCGTGATGGTACATTAAGAGCCTGGAATTCGGAGGTGCGTTGCGGAGGTTTTAAGAGATACCCCTTTAATTGCCTTCAATTGGCAGTACTATTGTAATTTTTAGACACAGCGGGTTCGTTCTGTCGATATATGCAAATTCGACGGTGGAATCGACTATAAGGAAGATAATTGTAAACAACTACTTCAGACTTATTGTTGTTAGAAATTGATTTACAGTGCTGATAGGCGCAAACGGGGTCTATTTTTCGATGCTTCAAAAGTCGAGCACTTTGATTTCTCGTGCTTCTTGCTCATACTGTTGTTATGGTTTAAGAATTCTCGCTTAATTTTTGTTCCTGTGCTAGAATTTTTCTTGTTCCAGTGAAATTGCTTTCTGTGAAGGCATATCATATAGATTCGCTGGTTGTTGTTGTTGTGGCGATTTCTACCACTGAAAACACAAAGGTAAGCATTTTTTTTCTGCAGAACAGGCGAGAATACTGACAAATTGTTCTAAATTTTCTGGTTCATTCGAAGTCATTAGATTCCAGTTCCACTTCGTATCTGATCGACATAACAAGCTTACTTATCTTTTCACTGTTGTTGCTGAAAATGTTGGTTTTAATTCGAAACTTTTGTTGTCCGACTTGTCTTTTGAGCTGTTTATTACACGTTAAGGTTGAAACTCTCTTAGACTTCGGGATCTTACACAAAAATGGTAGTTCACGTTCTTTATGGGCTCTATGGAACGCAATGTCAACTGCGAACGAATATATTGTGAAGCACATGGATATTGATATGTAGGTTGTTTTATGTTTTGTTTCTGAAAGTTTGGACGGTTGAGATGAAATCCTGTGTTTCTTTTTACTACAAACTTTTTGTAGTCCACCCAAAGCTATTGACACATGGAGAAAGGTCAATCCTTATTCCGTGGATAATTCTATTTCTTCCACAGCGAATGCATCCGCGTTGAGAGATTTTGTCTTCACAATCGATTCTCATCCGTTTGATATTGTATTGAGATCGGTGCAGGTATGTCTTTTATTCGCTCTTTGTTTTTGCTTGAGGAGCACTATTAGATCGAATGGGTGATAGAAGTTTTGCGATATTTCTTATTTGGATACTTGGATGGCCCGTCTTCACTGTTTATGCGGGCTTCAGCGTAATTACTATGTTTTCGGAGTTTTGCTGGTTTACCCATTGTGGTTCACTGGAGTCTTGGGCTCAGCCTAACCAATGTCTGCCGCAAGCCTTCACCACCACGGGCAGTCGCCGTCATTATTGATCAGAAGGAGATTTCCTACTATGCGATTAGTTTGATACCGGGACGGTGGTGAATCCTGGTATTGGTTTACTCCAAGCTGAGCTTCTTGATGGAAACGCTGGACTCCTGTTCGACTTGGAAGACCCTACTAGGGGAATGAATCCTCTAATCTACATCGCAGCCCGTCACCCAGGAACACTTCCGATCCACAATGAGGTGGTAAACTGTTGGGAGGTCTGCGATATTTATGCACATTAGTTAAGCCAGTAGTTTTGAAGCCTGCCTACTTCTCCTTGTTGCATAAAGGTTGTAATTAAAATTTGATGGTGTTCCATGTGAATAATTGGTAAGGAATTTGATCTAGGATAACTATCGAGCGGTTCACGAAATCTTTTGCACATAATTGTATCAGAAGTTAATAATAAATCAGTAATTCGGTCTTTGTATTTTCATGTTCATAATAAGTTTCAGTGCGAAATTCATTGATGGAACAAGAAACTGTTTGTATGACTAACGTCTAACCATGCCCAAACTTTGATCGAGGTTTATCAATTCAGATAATTTGCCAAGGATCACGTTGTGAATGTGCGTACGGCGATTGGTCATCATTAATGGCTCATGTTGATGCTTATATTCGATCTTCAGAGGTGTGATGCTTATCAGTAGCTTTTGTAGCTGTTCAGTTTAAACTCACTTCCATCAAATTTGCTTAGTTTGATGCTAATTACATTCGTCGGGGTGGAAGAACAACCATAACTTCATCCACTGACGCTGATGAAGAAGCTGAAAGGAGGTTTGTAGATGTTCTTAGCTGTTTACACTTCTTGATTGTCTATGATGTGCGAATTATTGAAGGCAAAATTAGTAGGAGCAGGTTTTGAAATTTGCTGTATTCCCTGAAGGTTTCATCCTTTTATAGGTTTTTTTATTCACTGCGTTGCATATGTGATCAGTTGGAGAGAGCTGCTCGTGGTCCTCTTGGTTTATTTTTTCTGGACGTTGTGGGAGCATCACTAGCCGGAGTAGTTCAACAAGTAGATCTCTGTTCATTTTCTTTTCTTGCAGACTTCCTGCGTAACACTGCCTTATTGAGGTTTATGGACCCTTGTTTGAAACATTTCGCATTCCCAGCTGTGTGACTTAAGAGTTATCTCCCATGTGACTATTTAGGACCGCTTTTCTGTAGTCGTAACGGAAGAGTCGAAACTGATTGATGAAATCGATTCAGACTTCGTTGAAGTACTGGCGAACATTGTCTCAGTAGCAACTGCAAGAGCTGCTGCTAAGGTGGTTTTTTGAGTATTTTGTATTTCTGGATTTTTTTTTCATTGGAAGATAATTATTATCTTCTTGTTAGTGGTGATATGCCTCTTTTTAATTACAGGGAATTTCAGGAAGCCGATGTTCTGGGAATCGATGAATACGAGGTGATGAAAGGACCTGCTCATGATTGTACACCTATGAGAGCTCAAGCGGTATGCTTAATTACATACTGCTTTTTGGCGGACTTATTTTTCCCAACGAAATCTTTTAAGGTAGTCAAGAAGTGGAGCTCTCTTATAGACTCATTTTTGGGGACAGTTTCAGCATCTTGTGTTCTGCAGGGTAGGTGTTACAATTTACAGGAATCATGCAAACTGTGTATGTTATTTCATTGCATGTTAAAAATTGTGTTCTCTTTTACGTTCAGTACTTTATTTTTAGATTCGCCATTGGATAATGTATTCGATGGCTCGTTCACATGTGGACTAATTGCTTCAATGCTTCGACATAAGGTTCGACAAAGGCTTGATATTGCTCGTAAATTTCTATCGGTCATAGAGCTTTATGCAGAAGATAGGGTAAGTGCTCTTTTCTCTAGAAATTATTGTTGTATCGTAGTGATTTTTATTCTTTAGAAGCGTTTCGATTACCCAATTCTTGATTTTCCTGATCTCGAAGCCAAGTTCGTTGACATTATCAACCTGTACAAACTCTTTGACGATCAACTTTCTTTAAAATTACCAAAGTAGGTTTTTTGTGAGATAATCATGTCCGTTTTCGATTATTTCCGTTTGATTTTTTTTCATATTACTGTATTTGTTAATCCTATTTATTTGTACTCCATCAAGGCTTTATAAAGGACTCGTATTTTGTGTACGCAAACAAACTTTGTAGTGTAATGCGGTTACACTTTAAGGGACGGTGCCCAAATATCATTATATAGTTGGGTTATGTCTGGAAATGGTGTTGAATGGATATGTAAAGCGGCTGGTGTTGGTCTTCCAGATGAGGAGACAAGCATTCCTCGATTTAATTGCTTTCTCGATGTCATTGTAAATGTGGGTTAATTTCTATAGTTGTTTAATGTTTGACCTATTTATTTTTCTGTTAAGGTAGCTTTACAAGTCTTGTCTCCGCACTCGCCACATGCATTGCTCGCAAGATTGTTAGCAACACATGAGAAATATTCTGCTCTTATGGTATGTTGGATTAAGCATCATTTTCTCCCTTAGCAGGTTGATGCAAAAATGGTGGCCAGTTTTAAACGATTTTGAAAAGCTATAACTCAGTTCAAATAAAACTTCATCAACCACATGGGCTCTTGAGATTCTAGCAAAACTCAGATCCTCTGTCGGGCTTCGAACCCACGATTACATTTATTGGGGTGTCACGTACTAGCCACCACACCAACCAAGGCTTGTGTTTTGCTTCTCTCAACCATGGTTTTACTCTATCGGTGCTATCAGCAATCGGCCGTTGATGGGAATGATCTGGAGAGTACAAATTGGAACCGAATGGAGTTGATAGGTTCCGTTGACGGATAATTGCTTAGATATGTCGATGAATAAGTGTTTAGGCAAGATTTAAATACATATTTCATAGCAGCAATGAGGACCAGTCTTTTTAACTTACCGTACTTACTTTGGGATGTAAATAGTGCCAGTGGAGACGGTCGCAAAATCTTTTTATGTCTCGTGTGGGGTTACTTTCAATTTTGATGTAAAGTTATTTCTAATAATGGTTCAGAGCCTATGCACATCATATACCGATGATTCGCCCAAGGAATTGCTTCCAGTTATAACATATTACAGCGCAATTGCGTACTCTGGGCTGGGTAAACCGCTGAAGGTGCGACTTTTTCTGGTATTTATTGTTTGTTCTTAGTCATTTTCATTTGTTGTTTAAGGCAATGTCTGCATTCAATACGGCTACTCAGGGGATCGTGCAATCTAACAACGGACTGTTGTTTGCCCTTTCACCTATCGGACAACCTCTTCAAGAAATCAGCCTTGGCGATTACTATGTGGCGGTAGTTTCTAACTGTAGTTTCGTAATAGAATGTTCTTGCTGTTATGCGAGGGTATGATTGTTTCCCAGTTATTTTTTGGCTAATGTTTAGGCCTTAAGCTATCTCCATAAACATCGTCACAGCGAAGAGGTTGTCAAAATGGCGCGAATCGCCATCTCTGCATTGCCACCGGGACATGAACACACAGTTTGTTGTTTTTGACATTTTTTCGATTCCTTTTAAATGATAAGGGTTTTCGCTTGAGGTGGCGTGGTCACTAAGCAATCGCGCGTCTGTAGATAACAAATAAAATTTCAGGGACAAATCAAAGTAATGGGATACTTTCTCTACGAATGGGTATATTTATAGGATGGTCCTACACTCTCTCTGTTGCGCATGATTGAGTTGCGTGTTTTCTCTGTATGCAAGTAATAATGTTTATGGGTACGAGGATGAATAATTTTCGGTCGTCAACGAACTCTATGGCTGTGACCAGCAAGTTGCTTTTGGGTTCTCATGCGCAAAAAGTAGTAATAGTAACGAGGTTTTATAAACTATGGTACTATTGCCTTCCCTTGAACGATTGGAGACATCGGGCACCGTTGCTGGATATAGATGCCATTTGTGGCATTATTAGTCTGGAAGAAACAGAAACAAATGTATCGTAATTTTGTTGGAATTCTAGTCTCGAATCTATCTCATTCTCTTCAATCATCTCGTAAATCAAGGAAACTGGTGTGATGCTCTCCTAAGTATCATTCAAAATACGGTATGTCTTTCTTCAGTGAGCTATATCTAGTAGTAATATATCTTGGTTATTTTAAGCCAATATAGTTCAGGTTCGTTATTACTTAATAGTAGGATCATTCCTTAACACCTACTAGTTTAGGAGGTGCGAAAGATTTACGAAGTTGTAGCTTGGACATTTTTAGGATATGGAAATAAAACGAACGACATTACGAGAATTGATATCACGTATGATACATGCACAAGACTGGAAGTCAATTGTAGAGTTGATGTATGGCAAATTAGAAGAGGAAGTAGGTCGTTTGCACTCACTATACTTTCTATGTTGCAAATTTTCGTTTCTTTACATCATCCACTGTAATATGCTATCATTTCTGTTCGGCCTAGGTGGAAAATATACTTTTAACGGCTGCTCGTAGCCAAGAACCAACGGCAACTTCACATCTGTTCAAACTACTGTACTGTTTTTACATGAGAAGAAATGATTTCGAAAGTGGTACGTCGCTAGAAGTAAGTGTTGTTTTAATCTTCATTTAGTCGTCGTATTTCTAGCGGCAAGAGCGCAGTACGAGTACGCCTTTGTTTTGCGAACACAAACAGAGCAGACACCTGAAATTCTACGTCGGCGACGGGATGCTTTGGCTGTCGCATCGATGCTTCTAGATCTTTTGCCTAAAGAGGATCGATTTCTGTCATTCCCTCAAGAAGTTTGTTTCTTCTTTACTATACTTTGGATTTTGAAGTATTACCGGAGGTACACGTTTTTAGCTTGTTGAAGAAGCCGATCCTGAAAATTCCATCGAGACAGCAATGGACGTAACACAAGAAATGGTAGATGTGGCGATGAGCAACGTAATCGCTGATGAGCTGAACGTGGTTTCACCACGTCGTTCTGCTGTACGACGCCGCATATTCATCTTAACGGCGGATAAGTGGGTTACTGTTTTTCGAATCATGTTAAATTAGAAGTTTGGTTCATTTCTAAAGATTAATTTGATTCCGTGTGAATTGTTGTCTACCACTTTTACAACTACTTCGCAGTTGTGCGAAAAATGTCTGAAGCACGGTTTTAGTAGGGTGTAAGAGAAAAACGAAACCAACGGTCATACACGGTTAAGCCCACTCACTGAAGTCAGTAATTTTTGCTGGACATGATGGAGTGGTTTAAATTTTAGACTCATTGAGGAGTGGATAATTGCAAATGCTAGAGTTGCATTGTTAGAAACGGGAAAAGTGCCGCCGTGTGAACCAAAGGAAATCGTCGAGAATTTAATTAGTATAAAAAGCTATGATGTAGCTTTTGATGTCTGCAGGTTAGTTTGACGTAGGCATTCTTTGTAGAACGTTGTTTTTGGAATTACTACGCACATTATTTAAAGGCATTGTAATGTGTCCATGTGCGACTTGTTGTATGCCGTCACTCGTGAATCTATAATGGTTGATGCGGATCAACCTAACGTTCCTCCATCTTGGGTACAAGTAAACCAGCGTCATTCAGAAAAGCAAGGGATCAGGTTTATAAGCGTTTTTCATCACATATAGGAAGTGTGTTAAAGCAGAAGGTCAAGAGGTGTTTCAGGATTTACTGTTGTGGTTTACGATATAATTCAGATGGTGAAATAAATTTTTTTAATGCATAGAAAAATTATAGGACCATAATTTCTGACGTAGAATTTAAGACATTGCGTTTTTTCTGAATCTTTCTGTGGACGTCAAATATGCTCATTTGCTTGTTCCAGGTACAGCTTTATTTAAACTAGACCATGCATAAGAAATTTGCGAACAATCTCAACAAGATGGCGCTAATATTTTGTTTTTATGTAGTGATACCTTCCAATGGATTACCGGCTCACCATGGCTAGGAGGTTCCTGGGTGTCGGGCTGTGATGTACAGCAGGTGATTCATCCCCTGGCAGGGTCTCCCAAGCTGAGGAGAAGTCAGGTGTTTCTATCGGGAAGCCTAACTAAGAGTAAACTAATAACAGGATCCACCACCGTCCTGGTATCAAAATCGAATGGTGGCAAATCTCCCTTTGATCCACAAGGGCTGCGACTGCCTGTGGTGGTGAAAACCTGGGGCAGACTTTGGCCGGGCTGATCTCGGCATTCCAGGGAACCACAATGGCTAAACCAGGAAAATTCCGAAAAACGGAGGTTATGCTGGGGCCGCCCGCACATTCAGTGGGGATGAGCTATCCAAGTATCTAAGTTATATGGTGATGTGAAAAAGTGTATAATATCTCGCTTCTTTAACTGTATAATTGATATCGCACATTACTTTATGGAGATAAATTACTATAGCATAGAAATAACTTCAATGATGCTGAGAATTTCCAAAACCTCGGACCGCAGGTGTATGCGGAAGGGAACGAACGCGCCATTGTCCTTTCCGGGGAGTAGCGCGTCCACCACCACATCACGCGGGTCCTTCGTTTCGCCTGTCTCTCAGCTAGTTCTATCGATCTTTTGCCATCAGCAATCACCCGTCAGCGGGATTGATATAGGGGCCCAAATCAGCATTGAACCCAGTTAAGCTGAGGCCGCAGTTATAAACACAATTGTAACTTATTATTTACTGCCTACTCTTTTTAACGGCAGGGCATACATGGGTTCGTTGCCGATTTGGGCCTCTCATATCAATCCCGCTGACGGGTGATTGCTGATGGCGAAAGATCGATAGATCTTGCTGAGAGACAGGCGAAACGAAGGACCCGCGTGGTGTGGTGGTGAACGCGCTACTCCCTAGAAAGGACAATAGCGCGTTAGTTTCCCACCGCATACACCTGCTATTCGGAGTTTTGCAAATATCTCAGCGTCATTGAAGTTATATTTCACAATGTATACCCTGCCGTTAAAAAGAGTAGGCAGTAAATAATAAGTTAAAATTATAGCATAGATAATTTCCTCTGTGGGATTTTCTTATGGTCTGTCTATTTATAATGCAGGAACTTGTCCTTTTGTCTATAACTATTTACTAGTTCGAGTTTATTACTCTTTACGGCTAGTTTTTTTTTATGCATCAAATCTTTTAGTATTTGTTCACCTTATTAAAATTTTTTCGGTGATTGTTAATCTTTAATGAAAGAAACACGTTATAGAAATCATTGGTCAATTGTCCGTGGAATGATGGCATGTGTACAACGTCTTTGGCCTGCTGACTGTCGTCCATTGAGGGCTATAACACGAGCGTTTCTGAGCCACAACTTGCCGGTACCGTGCTGGCTAGACGCAGAATATGCGGTTAGTTCTTCGAATGTAAAGTGGCTAATCAGACACTATTTCGTTGTTGTAGCTTTTCATAAGTGCGAAGTTCTTTTTTATCTGAGTGACGTCAGTGTAGGATTGTAGAAAGATATATGCCAGTAATGTTTAGCACTCAGAGTTGAAAACCGGTTGCTCGACCATTACTAATAATTCTTGGATAATTAGAGCAAACGAGGGTTTGCGTACTAATTAGACCTTTAGAAGAGATTTTGAACGACTGATGTGTGAGTCAAAATGATTTTTCGGAAACGCCATTTTAGCTTCAAAGTTGTTTAGAATTAGAGTTTTCGAAAAAATTGGAAGGTGTGGTTTAAATTTAGAAAAGTGTCCTCATTTATTCTACCAGAAGGAAGGGAAAACTCGGAAAAAGTGTCACGAAGAAATTGACGGAAATTTTGCAATTTTTACGATTTACGGGCTGATTAGTCATAGTGTCATCATTATGAAGAAATATAGGGCCATTTCTTTATAATCTAGAGGTTCTTTTGTTATCGCAACCAATAAGGTTGTAAGGTTTAACTTAAGCTAAAGGAAGCGTGTGGCGCAGCAATCGGAGTCGCCCTGCAACTCACTTGGGATTGATTCCTGCCCCACTGGCCCACCAAGCCTTCCATCTCTCCGGCTTTGACAAATTGATACCAGACTTGTCTCGGAGGATAGCAGCACTGGCTCGATACAACGGTAGGCCACCGCGAGTTATTGTAAAGGCCAGATATGCATTCAATCACCTCCAAACGATGCTTAATGAAGTCGAATGCATGGCGCATTCCTCAGGGATTGATCAACGCCGAGAGCTTTATCCTCTTATACCGTGAGCTAACATATGCTGGTTTAACGTGGGAAGTGGTTCTTATTTTTACAGCGTTGAACACAGTTCAGTTTCCACCGCCTGTTAGTGTTGCATAACTAGGGTGAACTTGTTTTACATCATATATATTTTAGTTGTTTAGGCACGTGATATCGGTGGTTATTTGCGGTGTCTGATTGACTACGGTGCTTTTTCCCATGCCATAAAACTAGCAACGAACTCCGTCGATGAGGAAACAAAGAAAGTATGCTTTGTTTTCCATATTTACTAAATCGACTTGCTTTGTATTTCTTATGCAAGCCATTGTTTCTGCAAGAAGCTACTTCTAGTTCTTTCTTTCGTAGAGCATCATTGTATGAATATCATGGAGATCATCTTCTCTTTTGTTATTTAGATAAAATCGATTGACTCTAGAGTATGGCTGCCCCTTACTGCCATTGACGAATTGCTGAACATGAAGGTTGGAGAGAACGAAACTGCAGTGAGCTTTTATTAGCCGGCTTAAGGGGTGTATCTTTGGCTTCGTCTTCATCACTAATAATGCTTGAAATTCATATATTTTGCTTCTTTTGCAAGATATGGGTAAAGGTAGCTGAATTGGTCACATATATTGTTGTGAAAGACGGAGTTTTATAAACGCTCCACAGAGGTCTTGTTCTTTCTTATGCTTGGATTTTTTTGTACTAAAATTGAAATCTACCGTAGAAACAGCAAGAAATTAATTTCAGTTTTGTGAAAATATTGTCATAATACGTAATTAGCGTGTGTAGGGTAGTGGTCGTAGGTGTCCTGCAATGCACATGGTTTCTGCGGCCGAGGCCCACCAAACCATTCATCCCTCCGGTAGTCGGTAAATTGGTACCAAACCGGTCTGGGAGGATAGCAGGACTGGCTCGATACATCAGTAGGCCACCGCGAGTCATTGTAAAGGACGGGTATGCATTCAGTCACCTCCAACGATACTTAATGAAGTCGAATGTATGACGCACCCCTCAGGGATTGATCAACGCCGAGAACATTATCCTTCTTTCCTTTAATACATAATCAGTTCTATGTTGCGTACTAATAATTTAAGCTCACATTAGTTTTTCAGCTTCTCTCTGTCCTTGCCGAGAAACTGCGTATTCATTTTACGAGAGTAGAAGGTTTCGAAACAGCAGAAAGATTATCTCACTAATTCTTAAGTATCTGTGTTGTCATTTCAAGTTTTTATGTTATATGGATCTTTAGACACGTACACTCTTGATTTTCTGATCGTAAACTGTGCTGTTTTGTTGATTTCATATATGGTATATTTGGTCTTAACGTCTTCATATGTACAACCACGTTGTTGTTTTGTTTTGGTAATTACGTTAAAGTAACTATTGTTCCAGTATGTTGTGTAAATAAGTAAATCTGTTTAGAGGTGTCTTCAGAAAGCGTTGCTAACTCCGAGTCCATATTTTGTCATCTAGGCCTTTGTCTTCTCGGATACCTTCCAGAGTTGTTGGGAAGCTGGCTTATAAAACTGTATTAGTTTAATTTTAGCATTACTCGTTCGTGATGGATGATAGTGACATAGTTATACTTGATTTACCTGAGCAAAGGTCGATGGTAGGTTGCTTGTTTTTTTCGTCATTTCATGTGACACACTTAAAATAATCTAACAGTGTTTATGTATGACAGTATGAAGGCTACTAGTCAAACATTTTTGCTATGCGGTATACTTTTTGCCTGATCTTTTCATATCTGTGAAACAATGGTGTTCGTGGTTTGAGGCCATTCAACAGTTGCTAACTAATCGTTCACAGTCTGCATCGTGTGGCGTAAATAATCTGGTACGTCGGTCATTTTCTCAACCTGTTCTTACCTCTCCGGCTGTAAAAGGTACGCTATGTGGTTATTCTGTAATAGTTTCCCGCTTCTATTAGATCATTGTAGACATAATTATGAGTTTCATGAGAATGAAGTCTTATCAAAGCACCGACTATTTCTTAGTGCGACGTGTATGAAACTAGAAGTTATTGTTTTCGGAAGACAGTGGGGTGAATCAATCCTATGAGGCAAAAGCTCTGCTAAGCCCGTTGAAGGCAAAACTAACAAAAACAGCGAAAGTACTTAACGACGAGTTTTTTGGTGTATACTGTTTGGTCAGTAGAAGCTCTCTCAGGCAATATAAGGTGTGTTGTATAGTTTTTTCTTTTTTTTTTTTAACTTTCGTGCTTTCAGTTTTTCACCTTGTTGATCTTCAAGTAGGTGCCAGTGTATGCTTTAAGTGGTAGTCTTTTCTAGCTGCTACTGTCGAGTTTATTAAGTTTGCTTCGTAGAATCGGTGTTATATCGGTTTCACTGTGGATCCAAATCGACGTATCCGACAGCATAATGCAGGTCGAGAGAAAGGAGGCGCAAGAAAAACAGATAATCGCGGGCCATGGTGGGGCTACATATATTTACTTCTGATTTGAGAATAATAGTTGCTTATGTATTTAGGGATATGGTTTGTATCATCCACGACTTTCCAAACAGTATTGCGGCTCTACGTTTCGAATGGGCATGGCAGAATCCGGATAAATCACGTGTCATTAAAGGTCTTATTCCGAAAAAGACCAGGAAAGAGACGCCATTTGCTTACAGGTGAGTGCAATCTTTGGTTGGACTGTAGAGTTAGTCTGCTTCTAAAAGTGTTCTTCAAAGAGCCGCATGTCTGTTGATTTCATATGAAACATTTAATGTACCTCACTTTACATTTAACTTAAGAAGACGGCGTAAGAAGCTTATTGAGTGCTTGACTATATGAGGGAATAATATGTGAACAATTGTTTCTAACAATTTGTCACGGTTTTAGCTCCCTTTTTTTTTGCGAATTCTGATTTGATGAATTCATACAGACCAATGTACTCTGTTTAGGCTACGTATTGCATGTCATTTGATGAATACTCGACCTTGGAATAGTTTCGCACTAACATTTCGCTGGTTACTACCGGTGAGCTATCTGGTTTCTTACCAGTGACTTCGAATGTTTTAGTAGTCTCCTTCTTTGTAGTCGATCTTTCTTTAATTCGCGTGATCTTATCACATTTTAGCTGGAAGAGCAGCCGTTTCCCGAGGAAGTTCCTCTTCCTCCACATGTTCGCAAAAAGTACGGATTGATTGAAAAGTCAACCTGCCAGGTTCCGTTGGAGAGGGACTGTTATGTTGAGAAAGGAAACTGTCGTCTCTGTGGCGAAGGAATTCATACGGTAAAATTAGATTAATTTAATTCTTTAGCTGATTGACTGCAAATTCTCACCGAGAATAATATGCTCCTTTTTCTCAGCTCAGTCAGCTTGTCCGATGTCCTTCTGTCCTTTGTGCCGCACATTATCATACGAGATGCTTAGCTTTGGATGGTTTAGATGGTGAGCGGCAGCTGCTGTATCCAGTTAAGGGCTATTGTCCACAGTACGTTTAACTATATGTTCACTTCTGTTACGAATTCCATAGTTGTTTGTTCGAGAAAAGCAGCACTATTCCATAATTTGAGACATGCAGTAGTTTTAAATCGCTACAGATGTTCTCGAGCTTACCTGTGGGGTGACATAATCAAAGATCAACGTATGATTATACGTGTCGACGAAGCTCAGAATAACGATTTCCTTAAAGGTTTAGTTCCAAGGCTACTTAATTAGCAAATACTTGTGTGATTTATACTAACACGCCTAGAAGAAAGTGGTGGATATCATCTTACAAGTGATTCTTGTGAATTTCATGGTTTCGTTAGTTACAGTGAATTGTCGGCTAAATTTCTTCTGGACTCCTTATGCATTTGTGTAACATGTATAATCGTATTTTTTTTCGTTATTTCTCGTTTAAAAATATTCCGACAAAATCAAGGATGTCTGTGATTTGACACTTTAAAGCTTAATTTTAGATATTTTTAACCATCCGTTTTAAACAAAATGACTTCTCTAGCTTTTACGTGGCACTAATGATAATAGGATTACGACGTTAAAGAAGTGTGTTTACTCTCACTCGTCTGTTAGAAGAGTGTCCGAAAGGTCAGCTCGGTGACCAGAACATGATTTTCTTCCTGAATTATAAGTTACTTATTTTTTTAAAATTATATGCTACTTAATTACTATGATCACAGTCGTGTATCCAAATTAGAGGCTTTGTTCCTTGACCTGTTTGGTTTTGTATTTCCTTTCCTCATACGACTATTTCTAACAATTGTAATGTTTTATTAGACCATTAACGGTTCCTTTTTGTAACGGCTAGAACGAGCTGTTTGGATAAATGTCGTTCAGAAGCTCTGTTTTTCTTTCATACGCAATGAATACAGTAGTATTCTGTATACTACACTTTACTGTTCTGTCGTACAGTTTTCGATATTCGAAGATATGAAATGGTTCAGCATACTTTTAACTGATTCTGGGCAGAGATATTAGACCATCTCAACCTCTTGTTCCTGTGAAATCATTGGCATATCTTATTAGCTTTACATTGCGGTAGGGCGCGTGTGGAGTGGTCGGAGCCCTGCAACACACGTGGAAATGATCCGCGCCCCCATGGCCCACCAAGCCTTCCATCCCTCCGGGGTCGGCAAATTGGTACCAGACTTGTCTGAGAAGATAGCAGCATTGGCTCAATGCATCGGTAAGCCATCGCGAGTCATTGCAAAGGTTAGATATGCATTCAATCACCTCCAGCGATGCTTAATGAAGTCGAGTGTATGGCGCATCCCTCAGGGATTGATCGACGCTAGGAGCTTTATCCTTTATCCTTTAGATTGTGGTGATTGCTCTGAAATTTGTCGCTAAATCGTGGGCGAGTGGATACATCGTGTATTTTAACAACGATATTTATTTAGGCAGATAATGATCATACCGATTCGCTGTTTCACGTGTGGAAAAGTCATTGGTAATAAGTGGGAGGCTTATCTGGGCTTATTACAGGGAGACTACACTGAAGGTATGCAGTACAGGTTCACTGCAATCATTACTTTTGCGTATTGATCGAGCTGAGAACAATCGTAATTTTGTTAGCGAAGTATAGAACCCTTATTTCATAGAATGAACTGTGTAACCCACTATTATAGTCCATTTATTATTATTTTTTGTATGATTACATTACCTAACATCACATATTTCACGCTGTGCTAATCCCAGCACTCGCATTGGATTTATTTCCGTACCTCTGCTGTCCGGTAAAGTCTTCGTACCTATTTTTCGTGTGGCTTCGTCCACTGATTGAGAATTTTTTTTCTCCGTCACGAATCTCGTCGAATGCTGGGTGAGTCGATGTCTCACGCAGATTAGAGGGATTCAGCTTGTCCCAGACTCGTTTGATGCAAATTTCGTCTGGTGTAACCCTGGAAGGATGAGAGGATTCGTCGGCTCGGTGTAGCGTCGAACCAGCACTTGGTTTGGTTGGGCCGTCCGCGCATTGCGCGTGATTTCCGTCACTGTCCCAACCGCTCCCTGTAATTCATTGACAAGACGGTTTCAACCTTACTACATCAATGAGTTTGGAAATGAAAGTGAATGCGACGAAATAACACTAGGTTAAAGTGACAGATCTCGTTTTTCAAACCTTCTGCGTAGGATTTGTTTAAAATAGCAGCTGAGATAAAATAATTATCTGTAAGCTAAATAGCTTACTGCCGCCCTTGATTAAGGCTCACCTATATCAGCGGTTTCTGCCCTGCAATAAGTTTTTTTTTTTCATTCCTAGTACTCCAGGTGGAAGTGGAAGCATTGAATTCTTTCCTAACTTGGTTTAGCCTTTAATTGAGATAGATCACGAAATCCACATCTCTTTGAAGCTCCAGGAGCGCGTAGAAAATTGGAGAGAATTTTTAAGTAATCTTGACTAAGTCTACGCGTGCGGCGCAGTGGTCGGAGGCACCTCGCAATACACATCGGATCGATCCACGGGCTCCCGGCTCACCAAGCCCTCTATACCTCTAGGGTCGACAAATTGGTGTCAGACTTGTCCGGGAGGACATCAGCACTGACTCAATACATCAGTAAGCCACCGCGAGTCATTTTATAGGCCAGATATGCATTCAGTCATTTTCAACGATGCTTGATGAAGTAGAATGCATGGCGTATCCCTCAGGGATTGATCAACACCAAGAGCTTTATCCCTTATCCTTTTGTCCTTGACTGACAGTGAAGTAGAAGGTGGAAAATGGATAGAAGTACAGGAAATGGTTTTAAATTCTTTTCGCTTAGACGTTTAATTGAAGGTGATGCCCTGGATGCGTTGAATCTACGTCGTTACTGTTGCCGTCGAATGTTGCTATCGCACGTGGATCTTATAGAAAAACTCCTTAATTACCATCCACTGGAAAAGTAGTTCAGCGGGTGATGACTGATTGATTGAATGAGATTTTAGACTGATTTCTACTCGTTTTCATGATTTAACTATGTCTTGATGTTAGAGTGATTTCTACTCGTTTTTATGATTTATGATTATGTTTTGGTGATGTAGATTTCAATAAATTCATTATTCATTCATGTTCGAAAAAATTCTAGAATTTCATTGTTGAATAACTGCAGTATGAATCTATCAACTACCGGTTCATGTTTTCTTCGTTGTCTTATCGCCATTGGTAATTCCTGGAAAAATCCTGGAAGATATTCGTTGTTATTATGAGAATTGCTCTTGTAATGTTCACCTTCTCATTTGATTTCCGTTTGTGGAAATTTTGATAAATGAGAGGTCTTTTGGGAAGAAAATGTGTCGATCACCATGTTCGTATCACGCTGGGTTTCTTTTGCTCTGTCGTCTTATACTCCAGTTGGTAACCAGTTACAGAGGGGAAAAAAGCTATATTCTTATGCTTACTTTGAAATTGCTAGGGAGATATGCGAATCCGTTCATTCTGATGAAGGAGTTAACTCAGACATGGTGGTTTGTGGTTGTGCAGAACATGTCCTATTTTGAACTTCCGCGAGTTAGCACATGCTAAGCCACCCTTGAACTAGGTGGTTTTTCAAAGTGCCAAGAAGGACTATTCTAGAGATGTATTTCGGTTCGATACCGATCATCCTCCATAGAAAAATTGTTTCTTAACTACTTTATGAGGTGGGTCATCTTTCTGATCTTGACAATCCTGAGTCTTTTTCATTTCCTTGAAAAGTTCTTGCGCATCCCAAAGCTAGATTCTATTCGTGTGCTACCTTTCGTTCTGGTTCGTCTTTGACGCAAGACTTTGTTTTGTTTAGGAACGTCCTTTTCTTTTTTAGTTTTTGTCATTGAAAAGCTAACATGAGGCGGGTACCGGACTTTATTCGGGTAATATCTCGCCATCGCTTGCACTTACTTCGGACCGGCGACGAATATCCACAGCGATATGAATGTTGACACCCATAGTTTAATAGGAATTCCTTGTGTTAGCTTGTCAATGAAAAAGGTAGACACTGATTATTTATACTGAGGTTGGATGGATGGTTAGTTTGAAAAAATGTTCTTTTTTCTTCATTAGCAGTAACGTGATTGTCGTCATATAGTTTCTATTAGAGTGACGTATTACCTGCTTGATCTGTGTAGAAGTAGATTCACAGGCACAATTACTCTGAGATATTTGCAGAACTTGTACCCAAGACCACAGTCATTGCTGACGGCACCGTTAGGATAAAAAGAGGCTAGCCGAGAGAAATGCAGAACGCGGGGCCCCGGTGGTGCAGTGGGTAACACATGAGTCTCTGGAAAGTGTAATCGCGGGATCGAATTTGGCACAAGGGACATGTAGTTTTGCGAATATTAAGCATTATTGTGGTTGTATCTCACATCATGCCCTATCGTGAAAAGGTAACACTAGACAGCAGATAAACAGCTATCCATTGATATCCATAAGCGTATATGGATGACGGTGACAAAATGCGAAGTTCAATAGTTTCGTCGCGATGCTGCTACCTACCTACCAAGGAACGAACGACTGGGATTCGACCGACGGTCACCGTGACACTCTCCAGGATCGGTGTGCTATTTGTCGTTCGTTTCTGGAGGTCTGACCTGTTCTCTGGCGACGGGATCTTGGTCACAGCCGCCACCTCCTCCGATTCGAACATTTCGATTTCTGCGTCGTCTCCGCCCAATTGCACCCGTCTTGTACTTTTGTCGAAGCAGGTTCGCTCATAACCACTGTGCATCGTCGTAACCGACTGGTTCATGTATCATTTACAGACCTCGAAAGACTGATTGATTCTGAGTTCATCTCAATATATAAGTTCTTAATTTCAGCCAGTAAGTCTTGGAGTTAACCAGTACTCTGTGTATAGATTCAACTGTTCGAACACCTGTCTATTCTCAAAGATCCCTCGTTTTCAGCTGTAAATCTCCTTTCAATTGGCTGAATTACTCATAAACTTTAAGTAACTTGTTGTTCTGCAGGGTGAGTCAGTCGTTCGTTCGTTTGTTTTCTTAACCTTTTTTCCGTACTTTTGTTTTTCACGAAGAGTGTTTCCTATATATCGCAAGATGACAGTGGAAGTGACGTATGTGAGGGCTTATAACAGCTATATTTTCCTTTAATCCCTTGTAGTTAATATCGTTATGCTCTTATATCCGACGCTTGTTTTTTTTATTAACCGAACCTAAAGGAAAGGCCGAAAGTCGTAGTACTGTTTTTGAGAATCGAGCTAAGTGAAATCTGCGCATTCAGCAGACTACTCGTCAGCTGGGACTTGTGCTGGAGATCTCACGGTTTTTCATACCTCATGAAAATTAGCATTTAAGTATTTCTTCTAAGAATTCCGGAGCTTACAGGCATGTAGATTAGTTGGTCCTTCTAAGTTGTTTATCTGAACGTCGTTTATTTGTTTTGTTGCGGTCGTTTGGTCGTGGTATGATGCGCCAGTCATTCACAAACACACGTTTTCATTCTTGTCCCCGTAACCACCCATCGTCGTCCCACATAACTTCGGTCAACGAGGTCAGTTTTTCTTTACATTCTTTCAGGGACTACATGCCATGACGGTTCACGTTCACTTTTGTCGCTGATTATGTTTATGTCTAGCAGTAATCAAGACTTCGTCGTTTTTCCGTTATGTCGGTTCGATATGTCTTGCTGGTTCGTGTATTCTGAGAATACGACCATCGTAAAGATAAAGGATTGATCTCTCGATGTTGATCAACCCCTGAGGGATGCGCCATCATTCGACTTCATTAAGCATCATTTGGAGGTGACTGAATATTATGGCCTGTACAATGACTCGCGGTGGCCTACCGATGTGTCTGTCATGACCGAGTCAATGGTGCTATCGTCCCAGACAAATTTGTATGAATCCGCCATCTCCGGAGGGTTGGAAGGCTTGGTGGGTCAGAAGCGCAGGAATCGATCCTGTGTGTGTGTGTTGCGTGGCGCCTCCGACCACTGCGCAACAGGCGCTCTAACCATCGTTAAGACTCAGATTAATATCTTTGATCTAGGGCAGGATAAAAGAGTAGTCTTAGCAATGTATTTATCTTCGCAAGGTTTCATCTGGAGGTAAAAAGGTTCCGAACACGAAATTTTTAGTAACCTCAACATTCGCGACTAAATTATTTCCATTCTGAGTCATTTTCTAGATTATACAGCGTCTACCGCCGTTCTGACGTTTGTCGTATTCCTAAATCTGATAGCTGAAGGGAACATAACTTATCTGTGGAAGTATAATCCGGTGTGCAAGAGGTCATGGAGGTCAGATAAATATTGTATAGGAGCCTCATGGGGACTACTGAGTGGACCAGAAATTGGACTATTAACTACTTGTTGTTTATTATTTCTTCTGACTGGTATGTGTTTGTTCATTAAGGTGAACTAAAGGTACTACTACTTGAGCACTTACTGTTGAAATGAAGCACACCTATGGGGCCAACCGCGCCTTATATCCTTTTCTGGATTAGTAAAATAAATATCATTAGTGTCCTTAAGAGAGGATCTGGCCCTCTCTACAGCAGTTAATTGGTTCAAGTCACTGTTTTCTCCACATCTAGATTTAATGACTCAACTTTCTTTCTAAACTTTAAAGTGGAGATATTTATTCGCCAAAGCATCAGGTGCTATGTGTGATTGTTTTCTATACAAAAGTGGTTTTTCAGATGTTTATCTGGATTTACTGGTGTGTCTCATTCATCTCTACGCTAAATATGTTTATGATCTTTCTCTTTTTGCAACAATCGCTCATATTTTGCGATGTTTACAAATTTTTTCAGTGTAGTTTCGTTTCCTCTTATACTATTCGCAACAACTTTTATCATAATTCATAGTGTCTAACTTTCAGAGCACTCATTTAGTGCTGGGCCGGTTGAACGGTGTATTACCTGCCTTGAGACTGTGCGATAATGACGCGTGGGTTCTCTTTCGTAAAAACCTTTACTTCTTTGCCGTCATCTACGAGGACGTTCTGCTTTGGCTATGGGTTCGGTGTCTTTTTCATGAATGTTGTTGAATAATGATCAGGGGTGGTTCTGTCCGGAGTCGTGTGAACATCAGACGGTCCCCAGTTTTTTTTTACCACAGGCAGTGGACGTTTTCCTTTTGTGGATCGAAGTGATCCCGTTTCAGATAAGTCTGCTATTACCCTGCTGACCTCAGAATGATGAGGCAATGGGCCAGGTGGCCCGCTCTCATCATTAAAAATTTTTGTGTTGTTTATAAAGGTGTTTATAAAACTTGATGTATGATCTCGTTTTTCTGATAACTGAGTAAAACTATACCATATGTCTAGGTGGAAATCAACGAGATCTCGCTCGTGAAAGGAATATGAAGAAGCAGCTTGAATTAAAGAAAAAAGCAGGAGCAGCTGCCAAGGAGGGTAATGTAGTAAGTGTTCTTAGTAGAATTTTGTTTTCGAATATTAGGTTGATTGCTGATTTGTTAATTATCATGTCTTTACCTTTTATGAACATTTGTTCACCTTTGTTTTACTTAGGTTGTTGAGATTTGATCCACTACGAATCAATATTAATGGAGGTAGAAATTGACTATATTACCATAGATACGAAAAAAAGTTATTTGTGGCTCTTTATCTGTTACTGCTTTCTCGTTACCATTGATTTCTGTCGTTAACTCTGTTTTTAGTGCATGGATTTCCATAACTTCTGTGAATTTTATCTTTATGAGTAGAAGATTAGGACTAATGCTGTAACCATAGCTATGAAGATCAGCACTGTACTTGACTTTGGCTCAATTTTGAAACCGGGCCTATAACAACTCGCATGTTCGTACCTTTGCGATTAATTAGATCCACGATACTCTACGTCTAACGGAATTCTGTTTTTTGCAAAGTTGCAGAAATTGGTGGAAGCACACTGAAAGCGCTGGCAGTGTTATCAGGAAGTGTTTGAATTTAAAGTCTGAACAACCATTCGTTTTCTAACCTTTCAGAGGGAAGGGTTTTTTAAATGCAGAAATTGTCATGCTTAAAGAAGTCGTAGGTATATGAATTGCGTTTTGAATTGCGTGTCATATATTTGTTTCACACTAACTTGGATTAAACTCATTATAATCTCGTCACTTTCCTATTTACTGCCCACTCTTTTTAATGGCAGCGTATTGTGTTAAATATAACCACAATGATGCTGAGATATTTGCAAAACTCCGGACCGCTGGTGTCTGCGGTTGGTAACGGACACGCTGTTATCCTTACCGGAGGCTGACGCGTTCACCACCGCACCATGGGAGTTCTTCGTTTCGCCTTTCTCTCAGCCGTGTTATTGACCCATGTGCTATCAGCAATCACCCGTCAAACTCATTTTAGTTATGTTTAATGTCCTTAGGTTATCTAAAGAAAATGTTCAAATAATCTAGGGTCTATCGACGGATGCACGGATGACTCGTGATGCGGAAGTAATGAGGCTAAAGCAAGAAAAAGCTGCTGCAAAAAAAGCAGCTGAAGAGGCGGCAAAAGCATCTGATGCTAAGAAAGTGGCGAAAATCGATCCGCTCAAATTGTGATCAGTTCGCCATGTAAGTTTTTAAGAAGCATAAACTATAGACTATGGGCTACTAAGACTGAAGAACGTAGCTGAAAAAGTGTTTCATGGTTGATATACTCTAGAAGTTTTAGGAATTGAATAGCATTGATAAAATACTTAACTACTTAGCGTAAGATCTACTGTTCAGTTCAGTTCATGTTTACTAGCGAACGATGTCATATACGGTTTGAACGACTTTTGAGATTTTGTTTTAAACATATCCTTATGATTTTTGTTTGTTATCATTTCTAACATATTTCAGGATAGTTACTTTCTTCTGCTCTTGGGACTTGGTAGAGGATACAGCCATTTTATTTGTATTGATGATCATATTTTTTTGTGTTCTATCGACCTAAAGGTTTTGTGGTGTCATCTCAACAAGTAAAAACTTTTAAATACGTTTTCATTACAGCAACTGGTTTGGTGCAATAATTTGCTGCCATTATTACCGTACTGCTATTACTGCTGTATAGCATAGTGGTAATCAACTATCGTTGCAAGCTCATATCGGTATTACACAGTAGTTGCGTCTGTGTCTTAGAAACACCTAGATTTACAAGATTAATAATATTATGTTGTTAAAAACAGACCTGGAGATATGCACTTATATCTACAGCTAGAATGTCAACGCAGAAACGGCGTTACTATGTACCGTACTTCCTACAACTTGGAGGAACATCGATGGACGTCGAAATGTCCTAACGGCAACTCTTTTTCTTCTATGTACAGGCATCAGATCCGTACTTTATCCAAGACATATCGTTGCCTATGGAATTCATTTTCTCCATTGCATTGTATATCAATCGTTTGCCTGTGGTAACGTATGGTACATTCGCTGAATAGGACATGTCATCATATCCAAGAGGTGTTACCCTAATTTGATGATGACCACGGATATAAACCAGCGTTTGTGTGATTTTATGTCTGTCCACAATATCACATGCTGAAGTGGTAAGGAGCGAAAAACAAGGATTCTTTCACTGCGAACGTTTTCCTTGCGTTTTAAATCAATACCACCTATATAACCCATAATCTAGCTAGTCATCGGGTAACTCATGCGAATAGGGAAAAAAAAATCTACGTCAGTGAACATTACGAACAAAACCTGCTTAATTTACTTGACAACTAAATTACTGTATTCTTCTTGAACATGCATGGAATTGTCGATAACAAGATTTATTCAATACCGGCTTACATTTCGGCGGTTACGTCTTCTTCAGAGCCTGGGAAGGTCAAATTATGTAAATTTCAGTCACATAAGAGAAGGATTCTTTTAAGCATTCGCCTGCTCTGTGAAGCACAGCAAGGAATGCCCTGTGGCCTTGCGTGACCTCTTGCCAAACCTCAAGCTGGTTTTTTGATATGAACCAGGCACATTCCTCACCTATCTAAGACTCTGCACGGCTGGTCTTCAACAGTAACTCGTAAGTATAAAAAGAAGCTCGAGAAGTGTTTAAAAGAAGCCGTTTACTATTCGAATGGAGTTTACGTATGGATTTTTCTTCTGCATTGGTTATGGAAGTATTTGGCTTAGTAAGTTGCGTGTCAGTTTGATCTCTCCAGGATCCGAAGAAGGCAAGACCGCTGAAGCGTCAGCTGTTGTGGATGAATAATGTGGTAAAAACCTTGTGTTTGCTTGTCAAGGAAACAGCGAATTGTTTACCATAAAGGTTACTGAACGTACACATACATATACGTACGCATACATATGCAAACACATACACACAAGTACATGTACATATACATACACATACAAACAGATACACATACAGACACATACACACACACACACGCCCGCGTGCGCGCAAACGCCGAATTCTAGTTAGGCGTACGTAGTCTTCTTTTTTTTTATTCCGAATTCCACAACAGGTGTTCTAGAGTGTTCTCAGGTCTTCAGTACACCATGTTGTAAGTTGTTGTGGGTTACAACTTGCTTTCTTAAGACTGCGATTGTTCAAACGAAAGCGGCGATTTACCGTCTGTAAAGAATATGAGTGAAAATTCAGGATCTGCGTTCTTTCTCAGTCTTGTCTAAAAACTTTAAAAAATCACCTACAAATTATGACATCTTCGAATTTCAAATTAATATGCCCGTAGGAATCAAAGATTATTGTTAATTAAATCATTGCAGTTATTCCTATAATGATGGTGAAAGATTTTTAAGCAGTGTCCAAACATTGAGGATTTATGACCCTTTGATTTGTTTTCGGAGAGAAAGTGATTGATTCGGGTCGATTGTCCACAGACGTTCGTTCTCACGACGTCGATATGCATAGTCGCATCGAGTATAATATTCTGGAGTGAATTTGCTGGAGTCGAGCATCGTTCGTGTGACCTAACTTCACTCAGCGAGGTCCTTTTATACAGCACATTTATCGATCCATGGCCATCCATTATGATCTAGTTTCATGTTGGCTGCTCTGCTGCTTCATTCCAGCTGTGTTCCATTCTAGAAGATTCGACTCGATGCGATAACGAGAATTCATATCAGATAAACGAACAGCTGTAGACATTCGACTCGGTTCAATCCGGGTCTAATGAAAGTGGAAATGCCGTAGCGTTAGCCGATTAGTATATTTGCGACAATCGTACGTTATCTTAGTAATCTATATGAAATATGATATATAATATATATGAAAATATTGATTTTACCTAAATTACCTAATACCTAATATGAAAATATTGATTTTACCTAAATTTGTTTTTAATATCACACCGAATATTGGTGCAAGTAGATATGGATCCGACTGTTGCTCTTCTCCAAAGGTTATTCATCAAATGCTGAGCGCAATATCTCGCCTTCTTTCTCATCAATCGCGAGATTGCTATTTAGCACGCGCTTACTTCCTCATGCATATAACACATACAACATAACGTTAGCTGACGTTTCGGCAGTTCTTCTTCTTCAGAGTCTGGAAGCGCAATTCACTGAATACAATGGTTTTTTTTAAGACACACATTCGTTGAGTCGAAAATATTGTTTGAAAGTCATTAAATTCCCAGAACCGACTTTCTGTTAGCCTCAGCACTGACTTATTAATAAATTGTTTTCTTGATGAGGAGATACGAGGTTGTTAATAACAAGATTTACTTAGTACAATAGTGGATAACGTTTCGGCAGTTTGGCATTCTTCAGAGCCCGGATGAGTCAAATTGGCACGCAATCTGCTCAACCAACTACTACCATAACCTCAGCAGGAAAAAAGAAATTGATACGTAAATTTTCATTTTCAGATTACTAACGACGTCATGTCTGCTGATCAAGAAAGCAGTAAAAACTGCTAAAATTTCTTAAAACCTAGCCGTTGATTGGAATGAGTTGCACGTCTTCGTGTCCTTCATGATTGACTTTATTTTCTTTACGGGGTGTGAATGTTGATTTTTCATTGTGCCTTTATTTATTTCTATTATGTTGGCGGTGTTTATTGTGTCATGCGAAAAACAACACAACGAAATAGTTGGCATTCCATCAAGTCGTCAAGCGAGAGCGACACTATACGGCCTTTCTTGCGTTTTGCATTGTTAGTTTCGATGTCATTTGTAACTACTAGTTGTTTAACTAGTTATTCATCAGCTACTTCCAAATCTTTCTACACTGAAACGTTTCAGTCTCGTCAAATTTCTCAGCGAATCGATTTCTTTCTAACTTCTTCTTTTTTCTCTTCTCTTTTCTCTTTTTCTCTTTTTCTTCTCTTTTTCTAGCTTCTAGCTTCTTAGCTTTGACTCGTGTGCCATATAGACCTTAGATCATAAGGTATTTTCATTCCGTTAGACGAAACCGATATGCTGCTTTTGCTAATTTGACTTCCTCTCTATGATTAATTCAACTCAAATCGTTGATAGCCACCAAATTTTAACAAAAATCACTTGATAGGCTTGTTTTTGCTAGAATTTAAAATACTTACAGTAGGTCCAGTGATTCATTCAACTGTATTTACTTTACTGCTAGTCTTACAGTAATCGGAAGTATTTGTCTTCCAGTTATTATTATTTTTCAAGGATCCAGTATTTTTGGATGTCATGAGAAGTAGGAAGCGACTATTTAGAAGTTTAGGGTTTCATCCACATTTTAGGAGGACGAAAAGGGGATACGTTTATAATATTCGGATATATTAGTTTTAGACAACACTTAATGAGAAATAAGTTTTTTGCATTTTCTGGACGCTAGAGAAAAATAGTACATCCTTATCTCTGGGTGGAAAAGGTCCACTTGTGCATCGTTTTTTAGTTAATCTTTCAGTTTTTATAATAAGTTCGTTCGCAAAGCCGGTGCCATCCTTTAACTAATGAGGACCTGGGGCATGGGGAAATCTCGAGATCCCATGGAAAGCCATTCTCGAACAGCTTTCAACAAGCCATTGGGAAGAAAACAATAGATCCTCCAGTTCCATCTGGAACGGACCACCTGTTTAGACTACGGCTGAAAGATAACGAAACGAATGGAAGAACTGCTACTGTTCGGAAGTCAAATGAAGGCTGGCATATGGCTATCCATGTGAGTAAACATTATAGATATGTATAATTTATAATACACGTTGCTCTTTTATGTGTTGTATGTGAAGAGACTCGTTGAACTTCAAAACCATCGTTGGTTCACTGAACATCTATTCACAATGGTGACGGCTTCTGCTTTAGACGAACATGCATCATAATCGAAGTTCGGCATAATAGAATCTGATAAGAATGAAGAACAAGGCTCTCGGCGTTGATCAATCTCTGAGGAATGCCCCATGCATTCGACTTCACTCAGCATCGTTAGGGATAATTGAATGCATTTCTGCCCTATGCGATTGCGCATCGATGTATCGGATCACTGCTTTCATACCCCCAGCCAAGTCTGGTACAAATCTGCTCTGGTTGGATAGAAGGCTTAGTGAGCCTGTGCCGCGGCATCGATCCCATGTGTGTTGCAGGATGCCTATAACCACTACGCTACATGCGCCGTTGTGAGGAAATAAAAATGCATGGCTTTTTACCATG